TGCTGCCTCGCACGCTGTGCTGAGAACCTCACACATGCTCTCATTTCATTCTCACAAGTCCCACCAGGTAGTACTACTAGTATTCCCACTTCACGAATGATGTTGATGTTTAGTAAGATTAAGTGACCTGCAGAAGGGGAAGTAGGACTAGAACCCAGGTTTGTTCCTTTCCAAACCCATGTCTTCAACTATTAAACCCTATTACCTTTTTTTTTTCTTTTTCTTTTTTTTTTTTGAGACAGAGTCTTACTTTGTCACCTATGCTGGAGTGCAATGGCACGATCTTAGATCACTGCAATCTCAGCCTCCCAAGTTCAAGCGATTCTCTTGCCTCTGCCTCCCTACTAGCTGGGACTACAGGCATGCACCACCATGCCCAGCTAATTTTTGTATTTTTAGTAGAGACAGGGTTTTGCCATGTTGGCCAGGCTAGTCTCGAACTTTTAACCTCAGGCAATCCACCCTCCTTGACCTCCCAAAGTGCTGGGATTACAGCCATGAGCCACCACTCCCGGCCCCTATTGCGTCTTAAAGGATGTAGTCAAGGGAATGGACCAAAACAATCTGTAAGAGGTAAATTGCAGAGGGCTTGATGATTGGTTGGCTGTAAGGAGTGAGCAGTCACTCCCTATTCTCCAGCCTGGGGTGCCTGAGTGATGCCACTGAGTGAACAGTGCCTCCTGGAAGAGGAGTGTGCTGAGGAAGGCAGGCTGGGTAGCTGCCTAGGGAACGGCCTGCAGGTAGCTGGATGTGTAGGTCTGAAGCTTGAGTAGAAATCTGAGATAGAGATGTTGGTTTAGGAATCAGTAGAAACTGTGAAACTCAATGAGTTCACTCAGAGAGAGAGGTGTGAGTGAGAAGAACCGAAGAACGGAGGAGAAGTGGAGTGTGCAAAGGAGGGAGTGTCATGGAAGCCAAGGGAGCAGAGTTTCGGGAAGAGCCACCTGAGTTCAAGTGCCATGGGGGGTCCAGAAAGACGAGGACTCAACAATACCCACTGGATTGGCAAGTTTGATGGTTATTGACGACCTTAAGGAGACAAGTGGCAGGAGCCTCTTACAGCACGTCACAGAGCTAAGTAGGAACAACAGCAAGCTGGAGAGAGCAAGCGTGGACCATTCTTTTGAAGGGGTTGAACGAGACGTGAGGGGAACAATTGCAGGGCATGACGGGGTGGAGCAGCCTGGAAGGCCGACTTCCAGTGCTCCTCTGCACAGGTTGGCATTTACTGCCATAAACTTCTAGGATGGCAAGTGTAATCCATCCTTTGCCTTGTGAAAATGGGCTTTTGCAACCAGGCAGATGACTGTGGTTCTCAAGCCAAAGAAATGGAGAAGAGGCATCGCAGCAAGAGATAAAGGTTAAGGATGAATCTTTCTCCAAAATTCTCCATTTCCTGGAAGTTTCACTCCTAGTTCCCACACCTGCTGGTGACAAGACCCAGTCCTGATTTTCGTGCCCAAGAGGCTCAGCCAGGGGCCAGAGGAACAGCTGCATCCTGGTGTGATTCCACCAGCCAACAGGTGGCCATCTGCCCTTCTGGGTGGCATCTTTCCAGTTCTACAGAAACTATAAAACTGAAACAACAACCAAGGGACTGCTGGGCATCGCTGAGTCAGACCTGTGTGTCACCTGGGCGCCTGCACACCCTGCGCCAGCCTGCAAGGGCCTTTCTGGGCTGCTGTCCAGAGAGCATGTGCTGTGCTACGGCTAACTCTCCACAGGGGCCACGGGGTGGGCCATGTCCATCTCTGCTAGAACCCTTCTCTAAAAAAGGGCATGGCTCCACTTACTATTTACTTAAAAACAATACATCTTATTCAGCTGGAGTGGTGGGCGATTGAGGATTGCTCCTTTGTTTCCCACAAAGCCCAGGCAATCCCCTCCGGGTTTGTTTGGGGTGGGCAGCGTCCAGGTGGGTAAAATAACAGAAATGCTGAGACCCCTTTGGGGAGCCAGACAGGTGCGGGGCTGAGACGGAGAGTTTTTTTTGTTTTGTTTTGTTTTGTTTAAGTCAAAAAGACTTGGCTACATTTATAATCAAGGGTGGGATGCAGGGTAGAAGAAACCGAAATTTGAGTAGAGAAGACTAGCAGGGCGGGTCCCCCAGGGACAGCTGGGGAGGGGGACGTTATCTGAGAACAGATGGCAGTGGGGAGCTTGGCGTGGGTCCAGATTGTGACAGCATCTCCTGCAGAGGGGACATCTGCCCTGTGTCTTGACACTGCACCAGTACTCAGCACCACTCGTGGGCCGTCCCATACCATGAATGAGTGGTGACCCAGTGTGGGCCCCGGGCAGCCCCACTCCAGAGCATGTGCCATTAACCAGCACAAACCAACATACAGTTTCACAGTATCTAACCAAGGGCCCAAAGGCAATAGAGATCATACTTCTGGGCTTAATTTTCTCTTTGTGGCAAGAAGCAAATTCATCATCCCAGAGAGAGAGGGACCAGGAACTGACAAGGAGGTGTGGGGAGCATGGTCCAGGTTGGGGGAGGGTGGTGACTGAGGATGAATATATTAACCATATGAGACCTGGATAAAACAGGATACCTGGAATGTCTTCTTTGACAATCTGTAAGATCATGCCTTTTCTCCAGTAGCACAGACTCATTAGACTCCTACCAGAGAGGGCCGACTGCAGCATGGAGGGAGAGAATGGAGGGACCGGAGGCAGGAGCAGCTCAGATCGGCCGTGATGAAGTGCAGGACAGGAGAGACAGGCCGGACAGGAGGGCTGGGAATAGGAGCAAATGGAGTATTTGGGGGCTGGGGTGACTATGAGGTTGAAGAGCAGGTGCCACTTGAGGGAGGTGGCAATGAGGGAAGGACTGGAGGCTGTGCTCAGAGGGTAGGGGACCAGTGAGGGGGTTAAAGATACATGTACATTCAGATGGGATTCAAGAATACAGATATTTATAATGAAGAACCTCAACAAAGGCAAGGGAGGGTCCCTGGTGGGCTGAGTTGCTCTAGACAGAATGTTTGTGTTCCCCAAATTCATATGTTGAAGCCTAATTCCCAGTGTAGTGGTATTCGGAAGTGGGATCTTTGGGGAGAAAAGAGAAGTCTAAGAAGCTGGATGCATGGCTTATGCCTGCAATCCCAGCACTTTGCAAGGCTGAGGCATGTGGATCCCTAGCCCAGGAGTTTGAGATCAGCCTGGCCAACATGGTGAAACCCTGTCTCTACTAAAAGTACAAAAATTAGCCCAGGATGGTGATGCATGACTGTAGTTCCAGCTACTCAGGAGGCTGATGTGGGGGGACTGGTTGAGCCTGAAAGGCAGAGGTTGTAGTGAGCACTCCAGCTTGGGTGACAGAGTAAGGTCAAGAAAAAGAAAGGAAAGAAAAAAGGAAAGGAAGAAAGAAGAAAAGAAAGGATGAAAGAAAGAAGGAAGGAAGGAGGAAAGGAAAGAGGCAGGGAGGGAGGGAGGGAAGGAAAAGAAAAAAGGCTAATGGATAGTTCTCTGGCTAGTTTTAGCTACTGATAGGAGGAATATGAGTAAACCGTGATGTCCACACGTGGATGCATCCAATTATTACCACACAGCAGTGGGGTAGGCAGTATGATCCTCATTTGACAAGTAAGGAAACTGATTGGATGAATGACTGTTCCACAGCTAGATCTGTCCCTACTCCTAGGGGATAATAAACGGCAAGACTGGGCTTTGGAATCAGACAGATGTGGCTTTGAATTTTGGGTGGGCTAACTCCTAGATGTGTGACCTGGAACAAGCACGTTGGCTCATGTCTTTTCAATAAATACAGTCCTTAGCCCAGTGCTTGTCACACAAGAAGTGTTCAACCGCTGGCCCAGTGATAATCTTGACTCACTGCAGCACAGTGGGGAGGGGGAATCTTGTAACCTGGGTCACCTCAGCGTGTGATCATGAGCTTTGAAACCTGCTTGAACTTCAGTTTACCCATTTGTAAAACAGGGAGAATAGCACCAACTTTGGAAGTTTTCTGAGCTGAATGCCTTAGGAGGTAGAGGTCAATGTGAGTGGGCCCAGGTCTTTTGGTCATGCTGTGTGCTCTTCCACTTCCCTGCCTCACTGCACAAATCAGCTCCCCATGCCCCCAGGACTCAGACAAGGGCCCTGCCCTCTTGCCCCATCTCATCCTGGAGAGGAGCACCCTCTTCTCAGAACAAGCATCTTACTTTGCACTTGACTTTGTTTATGGCAGCGCAGGGTAATTTACAAAGCTAAAAAGTACTTTATCAGGAGGGCCCGGTGGCTCATGTCTGTAATCCCAGCACTTTGGGAGGCCAAAGCATGCGGATGATGAGGTTAGGAGATCAAGACCATCCTGGCTAACATGGTGAAACCCTATCTCTACTAAAAATACAAAAAAATTAGTCGTGCGCGCCTGTAGTCCCAGCTACTCGGGAGGATGAGGCAGGGGAAATCTCTTGAACCCGGGAGGCGGAGGTTGCAGTTAGCCGAGATCGCGCCATTGTACTCCAGCCTGAGAAACAGACCAAGACTCCCATCTAAAAAAAAAAAAAAAAGAAACAAAAACTTTATCCTGGTGCAAAAGGGAGACTCTTTTTCCTTAGCGGATTTGCTTTAGAAAACTTGTAATCACAAATTCTTGTTCTTTTTGAGATACACGTAAATGTGTTTTAAAGCTAAGGAAGATTTCCCCCCAGTTTTACAACTCAGGAATGTATTTTCCCAAGGACTTGGGAGTCATCTCTTTGAAATGGCATCCCTGTCTCCCACTTTCGCGGGATGGTAGGAGCCCAGCTTCCAGAGAGCACCTGGCTTCAAAGTGTAAACTTACTTCCTGTCATAAAGATACGAAAAATTCATTTTTCCTTTGGATAAACGCAATTAGCAAACGCAAACGGCCACCGCATGGCCAGTCCATCAGAATTTGGGATGATCGCTGAGACAAATGGTGCAGTGGAGTCCCCTCACCGGAGGGCTGTCTTGTTTACCTCGGGAGCATGCGTGGGGCAGGTTGCATCCTCCCGGCTGTTAGATACAGGCTGAGATTTCTGTCTTTGCAGCCTATTTGGCTGACTGGTTGCGATGCGCATCACTTGCTGGTTTAATGCTTGTTCAAGACCCAAATTGCAGTGGGGTTTTGAGGATTGGCAGGTTTATTTTTCATCACAGGTCCCTGACGGTAGAAACCGGAGTGGCTGGACAGGGCCTTGGGAGAATTCGGACAGCGGAAGTAAGGACGAGGCCAACCCCCAACGCCTGCGGCATCTGCTGCGAGCGCGTAAGGCGCACCCCGGGGTAACAGCGCAGGTCCAGGCTGCGCCGCAGCCTCGCCCGCACAGCTATTTTTAGCCGCCGCAGCCAGCCCGGCCACGTGACAGAGTGGGCGGCACCCAAGAGCGCTCCGCCCACGGAGGCCCCACCCACGCCGCGCCGGGAGCCGCCAGGCCGGGAGCACTCGCCACTGGTCTCAGAGTCCGCGCCCGGCGCCGGCGGCAATGAAGATCTGGAGCTCGGAGCACGTGTTCGGGTGAGGCCGGGCTGCGGGCCGCGGTGGGGCTGCGGGGACGCCGGCTCTTGCTCCGGAGCCCGGCTGGGGCGGCCAGGGAAAGGCCGGACCTCAGAGCGGGACTCGCGGAGCCCCCAGCTCGCGCCGGCCGTTCCCAGACCGCGGCCTCGGCGTCCCGGAGAGAGGCTCGCGCCGCTCCCCCACCCCGCCCGGCCGCGGGTCGGAGGTCGGGGCGAGGCGCTCGGGCGGGCACGGGAACCTGGCAGCCGGCACCGAGGCCCTGCTGGTGGTCGGGGGCCGGGGCTGCCAGATCCGGGTGCGGGGACCTGGGGCTCACTGCTCTCCTGGGCGCCGGGGGTCGGGGGCCGGGAGGGCAGAGGCCTGCAAGCTAGCGCCTTTGCTGAGGTTGTCATAAACGTTCCGCGCGTTTCACGGAGGGCCCGCGACGGCCTGTGAGCTCCGGAGGAAGCTAAGGGGTAGAAGGCATTTGGGGGGCCCTGGTCCTGAACTCACTTATAGGCACGGAAGGCCTCCAAGCCAGCGTGGGAAACCGCGGAACTGTTTAAAAATGTCCCCAGGCACACGGATGGAAGTAGAGGTCATTATCTTAAGTGAAGCCAGGCCCGGAAAGACAAGTATCGCATGTTCCGACTCCTAAGTGGGTGCTAAAAAATGTGTTCACATGGATGGAGAGAGTGGAACGTCAGACGAGGGAGACTCTGAAGGGTGAGGGGGTGGGAGCAGGGAGGATGATGAGAAATTGGTTGATGGGTGCAAGGTACCTTTCCGGGTAGTGCATACCCTAGAAGCCCTGATTTGATCACTAGGCAATCTATGCGTGTAACGAAACTGCACATGTACTCCATAAATTTGTGCAAATAAAAAGAAAAAAAGTGTTCTCCTGACCTAAGTGGTATCTTCTCCTTAAGTCCCTGGTCTATGACACATTGAAATTATTCTTTAATGTTTATTTACGGGAACAAAGATTTGTAAATTGACCCCACTTAAGCATTTTATTTTGGGGGGAAAATGTACTTCGTGGAAGGAAATTGTCATCCTTTGACTTTTTTTTTTTTTTTTGAGACAGAGTCTCACTGTATCACCAAGGCTGGAATGCAGTGGCAGGATCTCTGGCTCACTGTAACCTCCCCCTCCTGGGTTCAAGCGATTCTCGTGCCTCCGCCTCCCAAGTAGCTGGGACTACAGGTGCAGGACTACTACTAATTTTTGTATTTTTAGTAGAGACGGGGTTTTGCCATGTTGGCCTGGCTGGTCTTGAACTCCTGACCTCAGGTGATCCATCCACCTCGGCCTCTCAAAGTTCTGGTATCATAGGCATGAGCCATTATGCCTGGCCTGGCTTTAAAAATGTAAAATTATAGTAAAATATACCAAGTGGGTTCAAAACCTGTGAAATTATTTTTCGTGAAGTGTTTAGACTTGATGGAATCTAATTTTTGTATGGCCTGTAGTGTTTCTCAAGTGGGGTTCCATCAGCAACAAGGATGGGATATCACTGAGCCATCTGGGTACCTTGGATAGTTAAGTCATTGCATACCAGGGGTGCCCAGGCAATTGGGGCTATGTTTTCTTATGGAATGGCCAAGGTCTGCCCTAGAGGTTTGTGAAATGTCCACGGACAAGCACAAATGAATAGCCAGCTGTGAAAACTCACAGTTGATGCTTTTGAAAATTGTTGCAGCTGGTAACTCTCATTTATTTTAATTTATGTTTTTGAGATGGAGTCTTGCTCTGTCGCCCAGGCTGGAGTGCAGTGGCGCAATCGGGGCTCACTGTAACCTCTGCCTCCTGGGTTCAAGTGATTCTCCTGCCTTAGCCTATCCAGTAGTTGGGACTACAGGCATCCAGCACCATGCCTGGCTAATTTTTGTATTTTTAGAGAGACGGGGTTTCACCATATTGGCTGGGCTGGTCTCGAACTCCTGACTTTGTGATCCACCTGACTCGACCTCCCAAAGTGGTAGGATTACAGGTGTGAGCCATTGCGCTGGGCCCCCATTTTTTTAAAGCTTTACTGAAGTATACTTTACATACCACAAAGTTATACACATTTTAAGTGTGTAATTCAGTAAGTTTTACTAAGTACGACCATCACACACACAGTCCAAGTCCAGTCTTAGAACACTTCCATCATCCTGCAGAGGTGTCCTGTGCACATTACTTTCCATTTTACCCCATTTTTCACCCCCGCCCCAGGCAACCAGAATCTGCTTTCTGTTTTCTTGTCAGGACAAATGTCATCCTGCAATATGCAGTGTTTTGTGTCTGAGTGCTTTTTGAGGCTCACCATGTGGTAGAGTGTCAGTACTTCATTCCTCCCGTCATGTCATTCATTTTGTATTCCTGGCACCCCACCTAGCAAGTGCTCAGAAGGGGTGAGGAATCTCACATGGAGACCAGATGCCCTTTCAGATGAGGGCAGCTATATTTTTAGTAGAGACTGGGTTTTGCCACGTTGGCCAGGCCAGTCTCGAACTGCTGACCTCAGGTGATCCTCCCGCCTTGGCCTTCCAGAATTCTGGGATTATAGGTATGAACCATCGTACCTCACTTGACTTTAAAAATATAAAATTATAGTAAAAATATACCAAGTGATTTCAAAACCTGTGAAATTATTTTTCATGAAATCTTTAGACTTGATGGAATCTAATTTTTTGTATGGCCTGTAGTGTTGCTCAAATGGGATTCCTTCAGCAACAAGGTTGGGGCATCACTGAGTCATCTGGATGCCTTGGATAGTTAAGTCATTGCATACCACCAAAGGAATCATGGTCATCCCTGGAGCTGCTGCGGACTAGGTGCTGATTCTCTGTGATAGACTTTTGAACCTAAAAGCAAAGGGTGGTAATGGAGCCTGACAAATGTGGAATGTGGCTGGCTGAGGTTGCTGTCACTGGCCTGTGGCTGGACAGGTTATAAATGATGTGGCACCATGAGCTGGCATAGCATCCAAATGACAGTACAAATTGGAAGCCTGGCTTCCTGGCTGGACTCTGCAGTTTTTCCCTTGTTTCGTCTATTGAAATCCCTGATTGTTTTCCTTTGAGGATTATAGACCTTTATTTTTCTTTCTATACTTTAAAAAAATGTTTGTTGTGCTGTTAGGTGAACATTTGATTGGAAATCAATTTACATTTGTTTTGAGGCCGAGTTTCACTCTGTTGCCCAGCATGGAGTACCACAGCAAGATCTTGGCTCACTGCAACCTCTGAATCTTGGGTTCAAGAAATTCTTTTGCTTCAGCCTCCCTATTAGTTGGGACTACAGTTGTGTGCCACCATACCTGGCTAACTTTGGTATGTTTTTATTGACATAGAGATCCTGCTCTCTTGCGCAGGCTGGTCTTGAGCTCCTGGTCTCAAGTGAACTTCCCGCGTTGGCCTCCCACAATGCTGGGGTTATAGGCATGAGCCACCACACCTCGCCTGCTTAATTTTTTTTTTTTTAATTTTAATTTTGTTTTGTTTTGAGACAGGATCTCACTCTGTCGCCTAGGCAGGAGTACAGTGGCTGACCTTGGCAACCTGTGCCTTCTGGGTTCAAGCGATTCTGCTGGCTCAGGTTCCTGAGTAGCTAGGACTACAGGCATGCACCACCACACCCAGCTAATTTTTGTATTTTTAGTAGAGACAGGGTTTCACCATGTTGGCCAGGCTGGTCTTGAACTCCCAACCTCAGGTGATCTGCTTGCCTCAGCTTCCCAAAGTGCTGGGATTACAGGCGTGAGCCACTGTGCCTGGCCTTAAATCTTTTTAAGACAAACTTTTTTTTTTTTTTAGATGGAGTCTAACTCTGTTGCCCAGGCTGGAGCGCAGTGATGCAATCTCGGCTCACTGCAACCTCCATTTCCTGGGTTCAAGTGATTCTCTTGCCCCAGCCTCCCGAATAGCTGGGATTGTAGGCGCATGACAAACTTTTTACTATGGAAATTTCAGAACTGTGCAAACATGGAGAGACTAGAATACTGAGAGCCAGTGCCACCCCCACGTTAACAGTTACCCTCCGGCAGTCAGTCCAGGGTCCTCTGTGTCCCCACCCCCTGTTCCTAACTCTGGGTTATTTTAGTCAAATCCCAGACATCATGTAATTTTCTCCTTCTTCATCTTCTCAACACTGCCTGTGCTTAGAGAGCCCTTTCTTACTTCTTTCCATTCCCAGCACAGAAACCAGCTTCCCTTAGCCCACTGGGCAAACCCATCACACAAGTGGGGTCGGAGCGTTTAGGACACATGTGTGTTGGGGGTGGCAGCAGGGCCTCTTGCCTCCACATGCTTCAGGGTAGCAGATGATGCAGGGTCCTCCACCTGGATACCTGTTGCTGACTACAAGAGATGAGAGTGCACATAGAGATGTTCTGTCCCTCTCAGTGTGTAAGCCCTCTGACTTCCTTTCCTCCCCATCAACTAGCAAAATTTTCAGTTCTGCCTATCTTGGACCCTTTGTCCCATAACTCCTTTGTGCCAATTCTCTCGTGGTTCTTGTCTCCCCACCTTTGCACCCTGGGGCCCTTTCGGTGACTCCTACCAGGGCAGTCTGATGGCAAGTGGCTGTTCTCACTGACCTGGCTTCTCCTTGAGACTAAGGATGAGGAAAATCAAACAGCAATAACCATTTCCTGGGTGTCCTGGCTGTTTATAGTAGGCCATGTACTAGGGATTAACATAAAAACAACAACAATAATGAATCCCATTTAAACTTTACAAACAGAAGCCAAACAATCCCACCTCTATTTTATAGACATGAAAAGAGAAGCCCCAAAAGCTCAAGCAACTTGACCTAAATCATATCCGTAGCAGAGGGGCAATATTCAAACCCAGCATTCTTAACCGGTACCCAGCAGTTCTTCCACAGTCTTAATTACCCTCTACTCCCCCTTGGGCCTCCTACCTCCAGAAGCCTGGCCAGCCAAGACTCACATCCTCAGGTGAGTCACAACCATCAGAATTGGTTGTTTCTAAAAAACCCTTCAAAAAATCAATAAATCCAGGAGCTAGTTTTTT